GGGCAGACACAGCCATCTTCCTCCACACTGTGGCTAATGTGTGCTTGAATCATGCAAAATTCCAATAAGCCTGGAGCTAATGTTTAACATATTTTACATAAAAACATTAAAACAATGACATTAAAACATTGCAAATAAGGTCTTAATTTATTCCATTCTTTCACTACTGAAATCCTGCGTGGCTCACAACACAATCCATGACCCAGAAACAGCTGTAAACATCACCAGTTTATAATCACCAGCATGTATACTTTCCCAAAAGAGGAGGTGATAAAAGCTGTGTCACAATACACATTCCAAAAGTGAGTACAGCAACCTAGGGCAGACTTTAGTTTATGGAGCCTCAGAAGTAAAATAAATAAATAATATAACCAAAATGAAGCCAATCTAACCTCAGAGAACCTGAGAGTAAAACTACTGCACTGGGTTACACAAACAGTAGCCAGCTACTCTCTTCTATCTGGCGTCTGCGGCAGGTTCCTGGCTTTGTGCCAGGCAGGCAGCGCCAGACAGGAGGTGCCTGCAGAAGCAAGGCAGCAGATGACTGCTACCAGTGTTTTGATATATAACATTATTTCTCTTTATTGCAGTAACTTATAAGCTGCTGTGGCTGCGATTATTAAACATGACCAGTGAAGCTGTTGACAGCAAGTAAATAAAAGTGTCCATAAACTGGTCCGTTCTAAACTGGAGATCGGATTATCATGAGAGACATTTAATGACGTAGCACCCCATCCACTTTCTTATTAATACTGTAATTTCCTTTCCTGTCTGTTTATGTATGCCAGCTCCCACAGGACACTTAGAGGAGTTTAACCATTCCTAAGATAACCTACTAACAACACATACAATAGCATTTAAAATAATAGTCTCATCTTTGTAAATAAACTGTGCACAAGAACTGGTTAGGTATTTGAGCCAAAACGTTACAACATCATGCCCATATAATATATTAATGTATTTCCAATGAATTCCTCGTTTTTATATGTTGCAGCACGAAGTTAGCGCCCGCTTGTTACCGATGTACCACATACAGAGTGTATGCGTGCTAACCCCCATAAGCTAGGGCTAGCATGAAGTGGGCTTTTTAATTGTGCTAATTGTTAGCACGCTTAGACCCCAGCAGGTTAACTCTCGGCTAAAACCTATTTTGAAAAACTGCTTAGAAGTGTGAAGGGGAGAACAAGTGGCCACACCGGTTATGTTGGTGACTGGTCATGGTGGACCGTCATAAAACAACAAACAGTGAAGTAAGCTTGGTATTTGTTTGTTTCTCCATATCTAATAAACAACTGGACTGCTGGGGAGAAGAGCTACTTACATAAACGTAGTATTACCATGAACTGTGTGGTTTTACCTGACAATAGAGCTTCTCCAAGAGGGGGGTACAAGTTGGGAGGTGAGTTTCCCAAACTGCCAGTAGGCGTCAGAGGGGACCACACGTCTCTCTGTTGGCCTGATGTAGTCTCCTCCAATGGCACGAAGTTTGATGCCCTTTGCTGCTGAATATTGCTACAGTAACTTGGCACAGTAAGGAAGAACGGTCCATAATTCCTCCTGAACGTTGTGCAGGTCTAATCCACAGCAACAAGAAGCACTTGCTTGAAGTTGATTGCTGCCAAAGGTAGTTCAGCCGGTTATTAAAACACTTGCTTTACATTAGCTTTTTTCCACCATCACTTTGTATGTTTAATAGTTGTGTTAAAAAAAGACATGAAATATCATGACTGTTTATCAGCGTAGAAATATTGTTTTTGACACATCAGGCCAGCTTAGAAATATTGTTTTTGACACATCAGGCCAGATGCACTCCCTAAGGGCAGCATTGCCAAGAGCACTACCATAATATAAAGCCACGGTGCTTAGACAGTGTTGTTCCTTCAGTGTTGTATAGACTGATCCTTTGTGCCATGCACGTGATGCACTGCAACAGGTTTTTCACCTATTTTCAGCCAAAATGCAGAATCTTTGCTCCTTGTTTCAGCCTAATGTAAAATAATAGTCATTAACTCTACCAAATGTTATTTTTGCCCTGTTACTCACGTTAGAGCATGTACACACTATAGTAGGTTTTGAAGTCCTGATGCAAGGTCCAGCATTTTGTGACTCTATAAGAATGAAATATCTCTTTTACTCACCTCACCATCAAGAATCCAGTGTGGCAGTTTACTGTACATTGCCTGTCACCAGTCACCACTGAACCCTCTTGGTTGAAACTAATTACTCACAGAGTTCAGAAACCAAGACTAATCATTGGTTTATTGTTCTAAGTTGCAAATTCAAACAATGGCTGGCATGTCACATGAATCACTTTGATTTTTGTACATGTAAATCATAATGAGAATTAGGCAAACCTGGAGCCCCCAGTATCACCGAGGTGGAGCTGATGTAACACACAACTTTAAAATGTTTCACTTATTACTCACACAGACTCAAGGTCAAAAAGGTAAGAGCAAAGGTATAATCAGAATTGAAGGGTCTGAATTAATTATCAGCCAGTGTAATTACAAAGATTGCATTAAAACTGTATAAATTTCCCAACAAGTGACAGAGGAAATGTATCACCTGATCTCTCAGCAGACTGTGTGCTGATAAAATGAAGTGAACACATTCTGTGCAGGTGAATTTTTGCTCAGCAACTGCTAACCAGTAAAAACTCATGTAGACAACCACAGTTTCAACGGCATGGTAACACAAATTGCTACCCACATGTATAGACCTTAGCATACACATTGCATTACATCACTTCAATCACCCATCATTGTTCCTATCGTGTGGCTGGAAATAGATGTGGTGAAGCAGACACTGCATGTCTCTGTGTTAAAATGCATTCTGTTATTATTTCCTCTCTTAAATGACAGAGATGCTTGGTGGGGGGTTAGCACACTGCATTTTACCAGAAGAACCTCAAGTATTAAAAATAATTATGAATTTAATAAAATGTAGAGTAGACCAGTCTGAATAGTTAATACTGATATTTTGCAGTTTGATGCTGGTGATGCTGGTGTCGAGTGCTGGTTGATGACGCATATTTCAGTGGCTCATCTGATCACACACATTTTCAGAGCGATCACGCCCCTGCAGAGATGTCACAGTCAACTCGCACCCAGGAAGGCAGGAGTTTCAGGTGTATTACTTTGATACGGTATATACTTACGGCTAAAAACATTAAGTCACAAACAGTGATTTCTAAGAAAAAAAACAATCATTTCTCAGTTGTTTCACTTTCAAAAGAAGGTTGCTAAAGGTTTGACTGAAATGACAAATGTTAGAAGCTGGTGTTTTTCTCACCCCTCACAGGGAAGTAAAATCTAGAAATAGCAACAGTATAATACTTTTTGCTGTGCGGTAAACACATCTCAGCATGTGAATGCAAAGCTATTCTCATCTACTTACAAAATTTCTTTTGACTTTTAGAACTTGTTTTGATGAGCACACAGAAAATGAACAATATTAACCATCTTCTTAAAGTACATGCTGGATCTAGTGTATATCATTAACTAAAGTGAATCACTTCAACAGTGGTCTCTTATAGGTGGCAACCAAAGCAAAGCTATGAGCACTGTTTAGAAAATAACTTGCCCTCTGAGTCACTGAGTTGTGGACTACGTCAAAACAGCTTTCGGGAAAATTTTGTTCATATAATAATATTTCAGATATTTCCCACACTTTCTAAATATGTTAGACATTTTATAAGTGGTAAATGGGAGGAGGTCAAATCTTTCCTTGTAAGCACAGAGAGAGACATATTAAATGGAAAACTGAAATGCTACCACACAGGTGAACTGGATCATACAATTAAAAATTTAGATTCCCTCTGATACTGTATAGAAGTACCAAGAAAGCCCAAGGTGACAAGAAGGAAAAGCTAGCAACTCTTTAACAAAAGCAAACACATTTAAGAGAACACAGGCGCAAAAACCATACACACTGGTCTACAGAGATACAGAGCAAAGGTGATTTAATCATATGAGTCACTTGTTAACCATATTCTTGAGAAGTGGGGGAGTGCTAAATGGAAAACAATAAAAGAACGGTATAGATCTGACCACCACAGTGAAGGGCTTTGGTGGTTCTGTTATGCTTTGGGGAGACATTTTCCTGGCACAGTTTGGCTCCACTTGTATTCTGAGAGGAAGGATCTTGTACAAATCAATACAAAGTTACTCTGAGTGATCACTTTTATCCATCTAGACTGGTAGTACATTCAAATGGTCACTGAGTATGATGTGAATCATATGCTCTGGACTTCATGCTGACTTGAACATTTATGGGAGATTTTGAACAAATGTATTAAGGTGTGTTTTCTTAGAAGTATGATGTTCATTACTTTAATAGAGTTCCTGTGGCAGGGAGATCTGGAGATGATTGAGAGGTTTATGTGGGCTCTTCACCTTAGAAAGACAAACTGTAAATGTAAGAGTCAGTGGTTGTTAAAAAATAACCTTTATGCAAGAAAATGATTTCTCCAGTCATGTTTTAAGGCATATAAAAATATTCAGCTTCACTTAAAAGTCCATTTTCAGTGTGCACTGGAGGTTTAAGTACATAGACACTCCCCCGTCAGTAAATGATCAAGAAAACTGCCTTCTAGTGTCAAAGTAACACAGTGCAAGTCAAACATACAGTAACAATACATATCACAACATATTGTGATAAATTTAAACATTGGATAACAAACACCTTCTTGCGGCATGCTCTACTTCCTCTTTGAAGTGCGTTTATCTTTGACTTGATCAAGTACCAGTCAGATTAGTACAATGTGAATTCATTTACCCACTCAATAACATAGGACCTTAGTTTGTTTTAATGAGGCATTACAATTACAATTACTGATCACCGATTACAATTAATTACGTTATTAAAGCTAAATAGTTCAACAGTCAAGATCAAGAAAGGCTACAACAAACAAAATAACACGTCAAAGTGTGAATGCAAAACTATTTTTATCTGCTCACAAAACTTTATTTATTTTTGTAAGTCGTGCTTTATGCATGGCAAATGAACAGTAATGACTCTCTTCAAAGGCCATATGCAGTACATATATCATAAAAGTGAATCATGGCGAGGGCAGTCTCTTCCAAGCAGCAGTGTCTTCCTGTGTGGTGTAGACGTCACATCCATCCATCTGATTTAACCAGTGTTTTAAAATAAATATATGACAAACCCCTGGGACAACAAATCAAATAAATAAATAAAATTGCAACATAAAATCTCACAGTGACGGGGTCACAGGTGTGTCGTAGACTCTCAGTCAACTTCTTAGACAGCCACCATAAGAGTCAGAGACCAGACAACTGCTATGAAAATGGGACAGGGTACAAGACCTCATTATAGCAGATAATATGGCATGCTTATAAACAGTGTGCTTGATTTAAAAAAAAAACATACAATACAAAACACTCTAGCACATTTTCCAGACACAGTGGTTTTCATATTTACAGGATGAGTTCAGTAAAGGACAATTAAAAATGCAATTGGTTTACATTTTTAAAATACAGCTTAATTATGTGGAATAGGTCCATGAGAGCAGGTGTGTGAACAATAAATTAGGTCACATGGGTTGCTTTATTCTTTTTCCAAATTGTACTGTATGTTATAAGCTGCAAAAGTAATAGGGGTTCAGGGTTTGCTGTGTGAACAAATAAACTGTAACATAAAATACATTTTTCACATTCAGTACTACTGGATCCAGGCCAGTCCTCTATCACCTTTATGCCTGTATTTTTATAAATAGTGTAGAATCCAATACCATTTATAGCCAGTAGAGGGCAGCAGAAAACCACTGGTACAGTAGAAGTGCAGTAGTTCAAAGAGTAAGAACTGATTTCTGAACTGGTGGTACTGGTTTCCAGGGCTAGACTGACCAGATCAAGAGATGTGACTTAAGTCTTAATGTTATAGGCTCTTCACCTGCTTTCTCTCATCCTCCAGTGTCTCTCCGGTGACATTAGGAGAGAAACTGATTTCATGCCCCCAGTTTCTAGTTTTTAGTGTATAGTATAGAAACTACACAGATGTTGCACAGGGCCAAAAACTGAGACATTTGCATGGACACAATCTTTATGTGTTGTGACTATTCATTGTAAGGAACCAAATGACTGTATTGCATTATCTACAGAATTTGTATTTGTCAATATATAAATAAACATCTATGCTTGTTGTGTTAGGGAATACATGTATGTTGTCATGATAAAACACTTCATAATTTCTTGATTCCAAAAGAAAAAACAACATAATTCTTCAAAGTGAAATCACCATCCAATCCCTGTATACTTAAACTTTTACAAAATGCTGCACACCTTTCTTATGATGCATATGCATCCAGCCCTTAGTTGTTGCAGTGCCATTGCCTTACTAGAATACCTCCTCTGTGGCTCAGTTTCATCATAACCTTTGTTCCACAATTGCAAGGTCTTTATGACACTAGCATATTTCTCTGTATTTCTCAAACACATTAAATTCCTCATGAGAAGTCACTTAACTCTTTCTTTTGCTGGTCAGCCAAGCCTCTGCACAGATGCTCACACAGCCAAAAATAGGTAAGTGACCTGACACCTTTGTGAGTTTTTGTGCAAGCTCAGGGAGTGTGTCTTTACGGTATCTGATGACATGATATAGTGTGACTGTAAAACCTCTGTATATAACTGGACTGGATATCGCTGACTTGAAATGAAGGCTTTAACAGTAGAATTACAGTAGAACAGTACAACTTGATTGATCACAGTACTGTAAACAAACAAGAATTTCAAAATATATAATACATCTTGTACAGTATATTTCCTACCAATACATTATGATCTATTTAACTTTCAGATGAATGTACCCCACCAAATGTTTAATTTACAAATAAACAAACCACTTTCAAAATAAGCCAACTCTATACATACGTTAACCTTTATAGAGTATTTGCAGATCAAAAAGTCTTGTACAGTATGTAGTGGATAGACAACAATAGAAAACCTATCTAATAAGTGTGTGTCTGCATATATTGATTTGTCACCAGATAAATGTGCATGGCTCCTTTAATTGTAGCTTAACCTGCAGACTCCCTGTTTTGTTTTAAACAGCTTCGACCAACATAAAGAGAAGTAACTTCCTTCTACCAAAGCTTTCCACTGACAGTGATATTACATGGTGCTTTACAGTCAAATTGGCAGTGATGCAGAGTGTAGTCTCTTGGTGTCTAATGTAATGTATGTTCAAACACACCATCGGCAAAACAACCTCTATATTTATATCATAATTGTGCTCTAAAGACCTGACTGTAAATGAGTCTAAATACACAGCGTACCATATAGCTGGACCTATTCAAATACATACTGGCAAGGCCTTGGCATTCTTCGCCACCCTGTTATTATGTATTCATGAGTTTGGAGATAGAGTGTTTGAATCACCTCAGATGGAGCAGAGAGGTGAAGTCCTTTAAAGATGAAGATGACAGCACTCCTTGTAGGGATGGAGTTGGCAAGAGCTTTGCAGAGGTTAAAGACTGGGGGGGACACTAAGTGCTTCTGTTACTTGGTCTTTTAACAGTCTTAAAAATATTTTGAGACATTTTATGTATAAAGCAGATTTCCTCTGCACAATAATGTGGACACACAACAAAGAGCGGTAGAAATAGAGGCTAGTAAATCAGTACAGATTGACCTTTACCATACTTACAGTAGTTTTTAAATAACAAAACCTTATCTAAAATGTCCTATAAATAATTCCTTCTGATGTTTTGCGAGCCTAGATGTCCAATCCAGTGTTTTTATGTCTCTCTCTGTCCTAGCTTTTTTAAGACAGGGAAAACAAGACCCATATAATCAAATCATTTTCATGTTGAACTTGCGCGTCCCACCCTGTCTGCTACTGGCAGCAGGTCCATCCACTTTTCTGAAGGAATATTCTACCGAAAAGTTATTCTTGTGCTGCCCTCTCCCTCGACTCCACACAAAAAGCAGAATGAAACAGAACAGGACCACACCCAGGAACATGATGCAGCCCATAGCCGTGGATATGAGGATGGTCTTCAGGTCCAGAGTAAACTTCAAGAAGACTCTCGTATCATTCAGATTTGTGTCATTAAGGTCTCCAGCGTAGTAGGTACGGTTGCCCGTGAGGGCTGCATCTAGCGGTAGACCACTAACAGTAAGTGTGGCAAAGTACGTGTCATTTCCACCAGCGTTGCTGGCTATGCAGATGTAAGTTCCGCTATCAGTTACCTGGGCATACCGTATCTCCAATGTGCCTTCTGGTAACACAGTTAGCCGGCCACTGCTCTTTGTGGTGATGCGGCGACGCTGCGGAGAGATCCAGAATATCACTGGTGTTGGCTCACCCTCTGCTCTACAAATGAAAGATACTACCTGTCCCTCACGGGCCGATACCTGCTGCAGTTTCCTGTTGTGAATTTTGGGCTTCTGACAAGTAAAGTGGTCAAAAAGAGCTGAGTCAGAGAAAGCAATAAGAGCCCGTCCTTGCACCTCAACAGGCGTCATACACACTGGGGAAGCACCATCAAAATTGAGGGTCTTCCTGCGCTGAAGGATCCAGAGCAAGCGGCAGTCACAAGCCAGAGGGTTCCCATCCAAACGCAGTGTCTCCAGTGTGTTGACAGACTGAAAGGCTCCCTCTTCCAGTGTCACCAGGCTGTTAGTAGAAAAGTTAAGAAGGTGGATTTGCCTTAGACCACCTAGAGCATATGGCTGCACCACTATGAGGTTAGTGTTGACTAGATGCAGCTCCTTCAGCTTAATGAGGTCCCGCAATGCCCACGACTCCAGCACAGAGATAGGGTTGTAGGAGAGATTGAGGCTGGTGAGGTGAGCCAGACTGCGCAGGGCAGAGGTCGGCACAGAGGTGATGTTGGTGTGTGTAATAGACAGCCAAGATAAATTAAGACCCTGGAGGCTGTGAGGGGAAATGTGCTGCAAAAAGGGCCAGTGATCGATCTCCAGGCCCCTCAGGTTTCCCAGCTTACGAAAGTTCTGGTCCTCTAAGGTGGAGATACTGAGGTAGCGAAGTCGCAGAGTCACCAGGTTATGCAGGTAAGACAAAGACTGGCTGGACACAGAAGTCAGGTTGCATCTCTCAATAGTTAGTTCTCTCAGCGCCACTAAACCAAGAAATGCTTTGTTGGAGATATAAACCAGATCATTGTCTCCAACTTCCAGGTTTTGTAGACTTTTAAGGTCTTGGAAAGTAAAGTCCAAAAGAATTACAATCTTATTCCCACTGAGGTCCAGTGAGGTTAGGTTGGAGAGATGTGAGAAAGCCCCCATGGGGACCAGTTTCAGTTGGTTACCCCTCAGTGAAAGCGACTGCAAGTTCTGGAGACTAGAAAAGGAATTTGGTTCCAGGACACTGATCATGTTCTCACTCAGGTCCAGCTTTTCAAGATGTGAATATAGAAGCAGGTCACCATGTTCTACCCAGCGAAGTTTATTCCCACTTAGATCAAGGATCTTGGTGTCTAGTGGGATGCCTTCTGGCAGGACAGACAAGCGTTTACCACAACAGGACACAGTCTTGAGCTTTGCAATGCACTCGCAACGTTGAGGACATCCTTGACTGTGGGTGAGTGACACCATAATCATCTGTAGCAAGAACAGGAAAGGCAGGAAGCAGCCTACACCCTGGCCCAGTCTCGGCCCCATGGCCCTTCTTTCTTCTGCTTCTTCCTCCTCCTGTCTGGGGTTGAATCACTGGGCCAGACACCTTAGAGTGAAGAAGGGAAAAGAAGAATGAGATAAAGAAAAGGAAAGAAGGAGAGTGGATGGGGGCAGAATGAATAAGAGAGAAAGAGAGGCAAAAAAACAAATAGTGAGACAAATGAATCTGACTCAATTCCCCTTCAACAGCAGCGATCAAACACTCTAAATGAGTGGAATTACAATTACAAACTCTAATTGACCCAGCACAGCAACAAAATTAACACTGGAGCTTCATGCTAATTCTCAAAGGACTGGGTCTGCATTGAGCTGAAACTGTTTGGTTTGGTCCAGTGTGCCTTGCAAGCACTTAGTTTTTAAAGTCTTATACAACACAAAATCCCTTAATAGCTATGAGTCAGTTTTATATCAGGTGGTTGTTTGGCTCTCTAGATATTTCATATATTGTAAATGGAAACGGGAAAATGTTAATTATATTCATAATACCTAAGAAAACTATTGCAGGCACTTAGAAGATTTTAACCACAAATGGCACCACAGAATTCTCTCACGTGACCCGCTATATAGTGTGAGGAAGCAGAATACTAATAATAATAGACTTAATGCTCTGTAGAATAATATATCAGCATGTTAAAAAAACTAGTGAACAATCCAGTCAACAGGCATATATCAGTCAACAGTCAACACTATATCTGGCCATTAGTGTGTCAGAGTAAATGCCTGACAAGGTCACTCACCACAGCAGAAGGCTATGACTCAGTGCATCATAAGTCTATCACATCCTCTGTGTAAGTCTCTGAGGCATGAGGCTTACCATGAAAGAAGCTTGCCTAGCCTGACCTGCCTATGGGTTTCATATGACACACACAGATATATACACACACACACACGCACAATCCCCTCTCTCTACACTGCTCTGTCTGCTGGTGGATGTTGTCAGCAGAGCGGTAATCCTTTATAAACCCGCAGTAAAATACCAGCTGGTGGGATGGAAAGTAACTTCGGAAATATCTTCCATAACAGCATAATAGCTGAATGCTGAGGCTGACAGTCTGTTAAAACATGTTGACAAGCCACGACTCACTGGTTCACACATCAGGAGGTCCCCAAACCACAATCTGTGCTGGTTATGTCACTAAAACTATCTGGAAAAAGGTGTTCACTGATACAATCATCCCTAAAACACACTGGACACATATCACAAGAAACTGCATCTTTTGCCACTACCCATTTGGAACAGTAGACACATCCATAACTAATAGTGCTAAAAAGAGCAAAGGGTACTGGGTGCTAATGTTTACAATGTTAAAGAAAGACCAGAATCTACAATATGCCATGACATACACATAACCATGCATCAAACCCCCATAACCATAAGGGTGCCACATGTTAGGAGACATTTGGCATTTGGAGGAGGACTAATACTGTTAAAAGGTTTTAATTTCCCACCTGCTACTATAGCAGATGACTTAATAACTCTCTCAGTGTCCCTCACCTCTACACATGTTCTAATTTACAATTCACCATGGTTCAGAGATGAATATTCTCATTAGCCAATCTGCCACTGAATAAACTGAAAATGCCAGTAGAGCTGTCTGATATCAGACAGGCTTAAAATGAGCAGAACATTGTTGAAAGTCATTTAAAGCTATAAAAAATGAAAATTTCAGATGTTACATCCCATTAGTAGTATCAAAAAAGACACTGCAGTAGAGAGCTGCTGTATTAGCATGCTGCTAATACCCCACACATCTACATGTGTCAGACAGACTGTACTCGTCTGACATGTAGCCCACAGTCAGACTCAAATTTTCTGCCATTCACTCTGGTTTAACAAGGATCAGTAGACAAAAAAATCAAAAGTCTTTTCTGCACTCACAAGAGGTGCCTGGATTTTAGTTAAGGCTTCATGACTGAGAACACATGGCAGCTGTTCTGGATGCCTCATTTCACCTTGAACATATCCCAAATTAAAGGATAAGACTGGTCATTTCCAATAGTATTTTCAGCAATCTCCAAACAGAGACTAAAATCTATAATTAATTGTCTCTACTCACAGTTAATGTCTGCCAGCTGCCAGGCCTGGGTTAGCTTGTTCATCTGTGCCATAGACCTCCATTGTTGTTCAAAAACTATTAAAAAAAAAGTAAAGAAAAAACACTGCACTGGGTGACACGTTTTTTCATTATGAAACCCCAGATCTAACTATGATGCACCCAAGCCTTAGGGTGGCCATAATTTCCTGAAGTTAACACGAATCAGAGTAGACTCTACGTGTGAGATCATGCACAAGCTCTATGCTTTGTTTACATTCCACTAGCTCCTCATGTTCGGGTCTGGGGTTTGCTGATGAAGAAACATGTCACCCAGTGGAGCGGTGTCCCCAAGTGATTAATTTTTAATTGTTTTTGAATAGCCACAGAGGTCTATGACACATGAACAAGCTTATCCAGGACTGACAGACATTAACTGTGAGTAGAGAGAATTCATTGTCAGTTTTAGTTTCTGTATGGGGAAATTTGAAAATACTATTAATAGAGGCATCTTGTAGCCGTGTGGTTACAGCACAGTGCACCATATACCTCAGGCAGTATGCTGCGGCATGATGGGTGGTGGGTTCTGACTGCTGATAATTGTCACAGGGCTCTCTTTCTATCTGCTGCTTCCTCTCACTGATTACTATTAAAAAAGGCTAATAAGCCTGAAAAAAATAACTGAATACATCTGTAGCAAAAAAAAAACTGGCCAAAAAGCCCTACTCTCCAAGTATAATAAAATCAAGAAGATGGAAAGTAAAGTGGTTTGCATTTAACAAACAGAGCTGCACATTAACACCACAGTCTAAACCACTTTTCTTTACTCACTGGTCCATTTAGCTCAAAGGATTTAATCTGCAAACATTCAGCATGAACATCCCATTATGTGTTCATGGAATTCCGGGTAATTTTATACTGTATGTTGGTGGCACATGTCCACAGCAGGGTTATTAATTTCATATTTATTTTGTATAAGCTGTGTGCATGCAATTTAGGACACTGTCACATCTGAAAAGATGGCACATGAAATAATATCTGCAAGAACTACTTTTATTTAATAACATGCAGGGTTAGACTGAGTTAGATAGACAAAAAAATGATATGTGAACCTTACTTTAAATGGCAGCACTATGCGCATGCTTTCAAAGATTTCAATTATCCACCTTGCTATGCACACACTGGTCTTAAATTTTATCCACATCGACATGACCTAGGGACACATAGCCTCCATTAAAACAGCTGCAATTCAACTGCTTCTGCAAAAGTTTAAGACTTTACTTCTGTTTCACTCACTTTGCACCTGCTGTTTAGAGAAGAAACCACAAACTTCCTCTCTACTGACTCTCTACACATTTAAAAATGTCTCCAATTTCAATGTCAGTATCTGGTAGTAGTCACTCTCTAATAAGCCCAGAGGACCCGACCAGCTGATTCTCCACGGTCAATAGCAGGTGGACGGAGCAGTGTGCACCATCCACTCTGCTGCACTAGAAGCTACTGTTACCTGGTAGTAAGCTGCAGTGGGAGATGACTGACAGTGTCACATCACTTTGTGTCAGGGTCGGCGTGTAAAGCTGCCGATGATGTCACGGGGTGAACTCAATTATAGAGCCAGATGAGGATAAGTAAAACACTGTCTCTTTAATAAGAGGACTGGTAACAAAATGATACAGAAAACTACATAAACTCGAAACACACTCTCAGGTCGATAATACCGTCCAAGGTCAGAGCCAGCAAACTTACACAGCCGAGGGATCCACAAATGAGAGTTCAGAGAGGGGGGTCCGATAGTCAATACACAGAAAAACACGAGCAGAAACCAAGGGCTAGGCAAAACTCGGTGGTTCATCAGTAATCCAGGGTCAGAGCTGGAATCACAGGAACAGGTAAAATGCTGGAAAGTCTGAACAAGAGTTAGAACTCTCTGGCAGCTTCCCAGAGGGTGAGAAGCTGCCTATATGCTAGTGTAACCAGGTGTGATTAATGAGAAGCAGGTGAAACCAATCTGGATGATGAGAAAAAGTTCCCGGGAGTCAGGGTGAGCTGGGGATAAGAAGTACAGTAGTATCAAAATAAAAACATGAGACAGGAAGCAAACGAGACAGAATCATGACAGTACCCTACCACAAGAATGGCTCCCAGACATCCAAACAAAAACCAAAACCAGAAGAAGACCAAGCAGGGAGGGAGGCGGGGGCCAGGAAGGAGGGCATGAAGAAAAAAAAGAAAACCCAAAAGACAAAACCAGCGGGAGGATGACCCGGTGCCTGACAGGAGTTCAGAGAGACTGCTCGGGAGGCCGGCTACGGGACAAGGCAGGAGATCTGAAAGGCTGCACGGGAGGGCGGCAGCAGGACCAGGCTGGGGAGCGGAGAGTTCGTTTGGGAGGACGACCTCGGAACCAGGCTGCAGAGCTGAGATGCCGTTCAGGAGGACGGCCACGAGACCTGGCAGAAGGCCTCTCAGGAGGACGGCCACAGGACCAAGCAGGAGACCGCCAGTCTGGAAGTTGTCTTCGGTGCCGGACAGAAAACCAGGGACGTGGCCTCAGAGGCAGGATCAGTGATGATCCACCAGACTGGACAGCAGTTCAGGTGACTTCGGCCTCCATGGGAACAGGAACAGGCTTGAAGGCAGCGTCGGCTCGCCGGCTGACCCGCTGGGGAACTGGGAGAAGTGGGGCGCCGTCACTGTCGGCGAATCCCTCTGGCCCTATGACACCTGAGGCTCCGACACATGTGCAGTAGCTCATAAAGCAATTGTTTCAAAACACTGTGCTGAGGTGTGTTTTGGTCATGTGACTAGTGACATTTGAATCGCTTGAGTGACGTCCAAAGCAGTTGGGTTTGTTGGACGTCAGGTGAATCAGCTGATTGGTTCGCCTTGTCATGTGAATCACTTTGGATCGAGTGTGTTCAGAGATAGGATATCCCTATTTAGTGCCGTTCCGTTGAATCTCTCTTTGGTTGGCTAGTGGTTAAGGCGCAGCGCTTTCGCCACGCCGCCCCAG